TTATGTAAATCTTGTTTCTTGAAGCTACTAATAAATAAAATGCTTCCTAAGGATCTATACTGTTGTAGGTATATACATATTTTCTTTTTTGTTTGTTTTGAAATGAATATATTTCAGTTTACAAATTATAAATATTAAGAACCAAGTAGCCCAATTGTATTTTAGAAAAAATAATTATATCAATGAATGAATTAATTTACCAATCTATGAAAAAGAAATCTCCGTTGGTAGACTTCAATATTAGGGATTTTTGAACACTCTACTCCAGTAAACCCCTTGATTTAAATGGCATGATTTGTAGGTGGTACCAGTAAAGTTTCTGTAGAACCCATTGATGAGAAAACCAGGATATAAATTTATCTGGATTTGGAATCAGCAAAATAAATAATGATTTTTATCTGCATCTACAAAAATAAAAAAACAAATGATAACGTTTTATCTTCAAACTTAAAAGGAAGGAAGAAAACACTTAAAAAAAAGTTTAAAGGTTTTAAATATTTTTTAAGGGATATCCTAGCATCAATCTTTTGGTTGTAATCACTTTGTGATCTAAGGAAAATTATGTAACCTCTCTGAGCCTCAGTTTTCTCATCTGTAAATTGAGCATTTAAAAAAAGAAACAACTTACAGAACAATGTGGAGATTCCTTCAAGAGGGAAATATATAGACCATCCTTCCTACAGTGACTGAATTGCTATCATTACTTTAACAGCCTGCTAGCAAAATAATGATGTATTCCAAAAATATAAAGTGCTAAAGGAGTAACATTAAACTTTTGAGTGCCCCAAAGTGGATACTGGTATTACATACTTCTGAATTCTTTTCAGTAGTATATACCAAAAATAAAATAACATTTATTTAATAATAAGATAAGCTTAGAGTTTTGCATATTTATTATAATATCTTCAGCTTTTTTCCTCTAATATGTGAGATTATTTTTTTACACTGAGTGAACCCACACACCATCAAATATCATTTTGTGAATTTGCATGTGTGTGTGTGTGTATGTGTATACGTATGTGTGTATGTATACATATATAGATATATATGTATTTGTACTTTCTTTTACTTCTAGGCTTGTTAGAATTGTATGTTAATATGGAGTAAATGAGGCTATAAAGAAAGCCTTTTAAAAACCTCTAGCCCTTTATGTGTCCTTTCATCTCTTTATGTGATATTAGCACCATAAGTCATTAGCTAAATATATTAATACATTAAGAGTAGAAAATGGTGTAGCCTAATTTGATCATTCCTTCTTCATTTATTAACTGAAATATTTCAGTAAGAGAAATGCACTGCACCCTGGTGGTGCAGTGGTTAAGAATCCGCCTGCCAATACAGGGCACACAGGTTCGAGCCCTGGCCTGGGAAGATTCCCACATGCCGTGGAGCAACTAAGCCCATGTGCCACAACTACTGAGCCTGCGTGCCTAGAGCCCGTGCTCCGCAACAAGAGAAGCCACTGCAATGAGAAGCCCGCGCACCGCAATGAAGAGTAGCCCCCACTCGCCGCAACTAGAGAAAGCCCATGCGCGGCAGTGAAGACCCAACGCAGCCAAAAATAAAATAAATAAAAATAAATAAATTAAGAAAAGAGAAATGTTCCTTCATTAACTATTTCCTTATTCAGAAGTATTTCATATAGAAAAAGCAAAATAAATGTTTTATTCTTTTCAGATTATTTACCAGTTTTTAAAAATAATGATTTCCTAGTGTACTGCAAAAGTTATTAGTAGGTATATTTTATCATTATGAATGCATGGATTTAAGCGTGTTTGAAGTGTTTCAATCCCTTATAGTCATTAACCTTGTGTATGATCAAATTATAAATTTTTGGCCAGTGGAAGCCTATGCCAGTTGGTTCCTGTGTCCTTTTTACATGACCCTAGTAAACACTGATATATTCCCTGATTTGATATAAGGACTATAAAGCACCACCAATGAAGTAATCTTACAAAAAATAAAAATAAGTGGAACCTAGATCTGGTCAAGCCACTAAATATATCTACCAATTTAAAGGAAATACAGGGAATGAGGGAACATGTTCAATGATATCTCACGAAAAGGAAAATCTGGAATGTGGGATAAGACCACTTTTGTGGGTCAAAATTTTTGCTAGTAAATTTGATTTCATGTAGTGAAAAGATAACTGGCTATTTAAAACAACAGTGAGATACTATTGCACACTGTTAGAATGCCTTAAAAAATATGGACAATACCGAGTTCTGGTGAGAATGTGGAACAATTGGAAAACCAGACATTCTGCTAATGGGAAAGTAAAGCTTTACAGCCATTTTGGAAAACAGTTTTACAGTTTTGAAGAATTAGCAGTCTTTATATAACCCAGCAATCACTATTTACCATGGAGAAATGAAAGCATAGGTTCACATAAAAATCTGTATATGAAAGTTCATCAGCTAGGGAATTCCATGCAATAGAATACTTTTCAGCAATAAAAAGCAACTGAGTGTTCAGTTGTATATATAGATACACATAGCAACATAGATGAATCTCAAATGCATTATGCTGAGTGAAAGAAACCAGGCTCAAAAAGTTTCATACTGTATTAATTTCATTCATTTGACATTATGGGAAAGGCAAAGCCATAGGGACAGAAGTCAGATTAATGGTTGCTCGGGGCTCGGGTGGGGAAAGGATTCATCATAAAGGATCACAAGGGAAATTCTGATGGTGATGGAAATATCTATAGCTTGATTGTAGTGGGGGTTACATGGAAGTAGGAGTTTGTCACAATCCGTAGAAATGTACATTTAAAAAAGGTGAATTTTATTGTAAGTAAATCATACCTCAATAAACCTAACTTTAAAAAAAGAAAATGGGGAACCCATAGATTAAAAAAAAAACAAGACCTCACCATAATGTATAGAACCTATTTGGATCTTGACTTTCTGTTAAAATAAGTTGAGACCATAGGAACATTAAACAATGACTGTATATTTGATGACATTAAGTAATACATACTATTTATAGTAGTGAATTGTTATTGTAGTTGTATTAAGAGGAGTCTTTATCTTGGATATACATACTGAAATTTTTACAGATGAAATCATATGATTACTGGAATTTGCTTCAAAGAAATCTTGCAGTGAGAGTAGGTAAACATGTATAGATGAAATAAGATTGGCTAGAGGTTTGTAATTATTGAGGCAGAGTGGTTAGTACAATGAGGGTTCATTGTACTGCTTTCTCCACATTTTAAATTATTTTTGAGAATTTTGCACAATAAAAATTAAAGAATTATGGCTCAGTTTTACAAATGTATGCTTAGTGAATATACTGGAAGAATATTCTGCAGTGAGTATGTAGAGTTTATCCCAGAAATTTAAGCATGGTTTCATACTAAAAATCAATAAAATGTATCACAGTCAAATAACAAAACCCACCAAGTCCTTGCTATAGACACTAAACAGCAGATGCCAAGTAACAGACTTCCAGTGACATTTTTTAAAAACTACAAAAAACCCTCCACTTTTTTAACTAGATGAAGAGCTAAAACTCATGATGAAATACCAAAGGATTGTTTCTCAGAGTTCAGTCCATGATCGGCATCTGGGGGACTTGAAGGTAATAGTTAAAATTAAAATCTGCTGAAACATGGGCCCTACACATTAACCTGCTGGAAACACTTCAAAAATCCTCTCCTGTTGATCTCCATCTATCTTTCTGGCCTCCTTCTATCCTCCTATTCCCCCAAATAATCTCTATTCCTACTCCCCATTCCAGTAACTGAGAGCTGATTTAGTCATAGCTCAGTTACTTTATAGAAGGTATTCTAAAATAAATTTGTTTCTCATCACATCTGATTAAAGACCCCCTCATCCTAGCCCAGCCCAAATTGCATTTCCTTTATGAAATTGTCCCAGACCTGCCCTACCAGCTTTAGCCTAACTTAATTGCTAAGCTATTATATAGTGTTCAGTTTTAGAATTTAACAGAGTATGTCCTGATTATTTGTTTGCATGTCATCTCAACCAGATTATGAGTTACATTTGCTCAGGGAAAAAGGTGCATGGTTTTTATTTTTGCTTTTGCCTTCTTTAGCAGTAAGTGTACTAACACATACAATAATAATGTAATCTACACTTAAAAAATATAGATTTCTTCAAAATGAGTTGTTTTCATACTTTGCCAATCATATAAGGGCATTTAATAACACACAAAGAAAATATACAGGCAGGCCTGCTTTAAAAGTTTTTCTTTCTTTAATGTGGTATAAAAAAGACTATATATGAAAATGGGGGGAAAAGCAAAGGTGATTATTTCATTGTTGGTTTGCAAAGTGACCCTGTACTCATGCAGGGCAAGGAAAGAGAACAAAGAAACAGGTAGATCACTCCAAATTGGTAGGTGGCAGTTTTAATAAGCAAGGGAGCTTATGCACAAGGCTTGTCTTGGGCGGCTGTCAGATGAGTAGATCTCTACACTTGACCACCAGAGGCTTAGTGACTTCAACTGGGTTCAGTCACGTATACCATCCAGATGGTTTCAGTAGCACCTTATTCTCTCAGGGCTCTGTACTCGGAACAGCTATCACTGTGGGAATGATAGGCAGAGCATAGTTCTAAGGACAGGGGAGGAGCTGAGGAACCTCCCACCTATTGCTCAGGTCCAGCTTGAGTCATCTGGTGGTCATATCCTCTTGATTAACCTCTCCAACATTCATCAATTTTAAAAGTCAGCTATTAAAAATGACTTTGTTAGTACTGTTACTCAGTCATCTATTTCATTTAGCATTGTTAAACACCACGCTATTTTAAAATTAATTTATAACCACCTTATATATTTTATATTTACTCAATATTATTAAGTATTATATATTAAGATTTAGTACCTACAAATAATTTTAAAGTAATTCAACTTATTAAAGCTAATATGATGAATAATACTAAAGGTCGTTGACGTTAATGATTTAAATAACTGGTTCATTCTTATGTCAATTGTGAAGTTCATGCAAGTTTTTTTGTTTTGTTTAATTCCAGTTGTGTTGCTTGATACAACAACTGTGCTGGGAGAGCTAGGATGGAAAACATATCCATTAAATGGGGTAAGTTTAAATATCTTTTAAAATTGTTTTTCTTGTTAGGTTTTTAGGGTCTGTTATAATAGTTAAAGAAAGAAAAACAGTGTGATTTTGGCTGTATTAAGTATGAATTTTAGTGTATAAATTAAATTACATAGGAAAGATTAAAATGCAATTAGAACTGCTAACCAATGGGAATGATATATAAAATTCTTTGCTTCTAAATTAGTAATTGTTCTTTAATATAGTGTTTATACATAGTAGTATTAGAATAGCTATCATATAAATATTTTCTTTAGAAATAAAATTTTATGTTCAAGACACTTTTTTTTTCTGTGTATATGCTTGTTAAATTTGGTAACCTCACTGAGTATTTGTACATAAACAAACTTTAGATTATCAGAGCATAAGTGTATTTTCCAGATACTAACAATTTGGTATTCATTAGAAAATATGAGTCTGCTAAAGCAGTATGTGTCTTTTGAACTTAGCAAAAAGATACATTATGATCAGGCTTTTGTTAGCTGAGTGTAGTTGCTTTTGAAAGGCTTATAAGAATGTATAATTTATTTACTAAGTACACTTTTCCAGGTACTGACATCATTTTAGCTATGGTTGTACTTGACTTTTTATATGTTTTGATATATTTTGCATCATTTTCACAGTCAGTGTATTCCTACTATTTTTTTCATTTCAAGCTAAAATAAGAAGGGTGGTTTGTGCTGCTTTTTACCTAGATTTTGTCTATTTAAGCAAATCTTCAATAATGGAGGTAGTCAGCTGTTTTCAGATGTACTTTGATTAGCTTTTCTTCCTTTTTTTAGAAATTGTATTTTTCTCATTCATCACATTCTTCCTTGATACTTTTTTACATTGCTTTTTCTGTTACATCTACAAATTTAAATCTGAAAAAAGTTGGTTGACCCAAAATTGTTTTATATTTTTAGAATCATTCCAGCAATGCTGTTTCAATTTGACCTTTATATCAGCAATTATTCAATAGTTATTCATTAAATGTGTATTTTCAACTAAAAATTCCTATGAAGAGTTTAATCTTTCTGTCTTTAACAGGTTATTTATTTATTTCTATTTGTTTGTTTATAGACTATGGCTTTATTTTTTCTGAAATTTAAATTTTATTCTTACAGAGCACTCGTCAAACCATTTCTGAGAATGTATCTTTTAAACTAAGATTATGCTTTTACCTTCATTATCTTATTTTCATTAAAATGAATAAACATCAGTATTCGTTGAGTGTGTTAAGTGTGTTAGTTTATCACAATTACTTTCAAGAAGTGAATGAAACTTCTTTTTTGGAATACCCTTTCAAGATATATACATATCTCGTTTTCTCAGTATATGAAGTAACTTATAAGAACCTACAAATATTAAGTAGTTTATGAGCCCCACTTTTTCATTTTCTGGAAAAAGAATGACAAAAATATTAGCAGTCATACTATCACTGACCTCATGTTGTCATAGCCAAAGAATCATGTAAGGAACAGAAGGAGTTGTGCTCTGCTCTAGTGATTGTGTTTGGCTTGATCAGGCTGCATTTCTTAAAGCAAACTGGTAACCAGGAGACACAGGGACTTACAGAGTTACAAATAAACTTACTACTATTGTTCTTGTAATGATTTTGTCATAGGTGTTATGAAATGGGGAATTTTTCTACTTCTGATTTATTATAGAGAGAGGGCAGAATTGTTTGAAAAGTGATGCTTACCTCATAGTTTTCTATTTTCCGGACACTGCACTAAGAATTTTATCCTTTTTTTCACAATGGCCCTATGAGGTATGTCTTAGTTTTCTTTCCCTGTTGGAGAAACCCAGTTTTAAAGATGGTAAGGAACAAAATTTACCAAGAAGTTATAGGCCAAATAGTGAGTGATGGATTCCAATTCAAACTAAATTATTTCTGACTCTAATACCTGTATACGTATTATGGTACACTAACAGAGAGGAACATTGGAAACTTTATGAAAAGGCAATTACTTATGTGTGCTGTTTGCATAATTGATTCAGATTTTTTATCCCCTTGATAAACATACTACTAAACTGAGATATACATTTTGGGCACCAGCCAAGAATGAACAAGAAGAAAGAGAAAGAAGCAGGGAAGGATACTACAGTAGAAAATAAATATGATAGAATAAGGTAGAAAAGGAAAAGATGGTTAAAAATTCATTGAGCATTTACCATATGCTAGGCTTTGTTCAAAGCACTTTACTCACATGAGTCCTAGAAATCAAGTATAAATTTTCCTTATTGAAAGATGTGAAAATTGAGCTTCAGGTATATTAAATAACTTCTTCATGGTCACAGAGTGAGGAAATAATGCAGCAAAATTTCTAAGCCAAACATATTTTAATCTTCACATGTATTTCACAGTAGGTGCTTTTTATTTCTTTGAAGATTCTACCATGTAAAGATAAAGGGCAATGAGCAATACGTATAGACTACAGAGGGAACAATAACACATGGATTCAGACATTCAAAAGTAAATTGAATACTCAGTTACCTTGGAATAGGCTATTTGACTTTTAGATTATCCCCCCAAATAATAATGCATATATGGCAAGTGTCAGCAGTAGGCATACTTGAAAATAGGAGCACATGGACATATTTTATAATAGATATGGATAAAGCTTCATGAATTAGCTAAAACAGAGGTGAACCAAGGGAAACAATAAAATGGATAGATGACATAAGTAAATTTTAAAGAAAACATACAACTTAAATTTCTCTTTTAATGAAGAGGATAGATTACGGACAGGAATAGAGCTTTACTTAGTGCTATTTGTAGTTTAAAACAAGTGAGGAAATAATTAGTATGGATAGAAAAACTTTGAAAACGATCTTCTAAAAATGGCAAGAATGAAAATCATCTAGACATCATAATTGGTTAAATAATTTAAAATCTATAGGAACTGTAAATCAGTGTATAACATTTAAACTACCATTTATACCTGTGTATTAAAATTATAATTAAATCTATTTGAAATTGTGTAATTTTTTAAGGTTCTCAGGTTTTTTGAGCCATGCTAATTTGAATGGCCATTTTAACTAAAGTTGCATTTTCTCAGAGACACTACTTCAGTTGTTTTTACAAATATGTCATGGGTAGAAAAGACAATAGATGATATATTTGACAATCTTATGATATAAAGTATATTTGGTGCTTCTCTGAATAAAGTATTTCCTAGGAGTAACTTTCAAATCGATAAAATTTTCTTTCCATAAAGAATTGAACTAAGAGATATTTTTGAAATCGTATAATGTATGGTTTATATTATGAATCATATAAACTATATGCTTTAGTAAATTAATTCATAGTGGTTTTAATTTTTGTTGATTTTTTTTTTTTTACTAAAAATACCTATTCCACCCTTAGTAATATGCTGATGTAATTACAAGAGTAGGCATTCATGATGTGCCTGTAAACAAAACCATTACTGGTTATTTGAATATAACATAAGCACCTCTGGTTAGCAAATATGGAAAATAGATGAATAGTTTTGAGCAAATGACTTTTTAGGCTTGCAAAAATTAAAAGAAAATATATTTATTTTCTTGCTTGCTTGTCAACTCATTTTTGCCAACATCGAAAATACACTTTCGTTTTTTAAAAGTCATGTCCAGAATTCAGTGTAACACATTTCTCTTGTTCTGTGTACTGTTTTGCAGTTTGGAAATAGGTCTACACAATCATAAGGCCAAAGAGAGTATCTTCAGGTAGTTTCGAGTAATGTTTTGTGAAAGAATAATAAAGGGAAGGATGAATTCTGCTTGAGGAAGATTGGTAGTAGGATGTGACCCATCAGCTCTTTCTTATAATCTAAGGAATCACATATGGTCTGGAAGAGAGGGTAGAAGGCACCTTTTAGGAAGAGAGAATGGCTTGAAGACAGGCACTGAATTCTTAAATGTATGCATTAAGTTTTAGGGACGTTGAGAATAATTTGTGTGGCTGAAGAGAAGGGATGTGGTGGGAAATAAGGCTACAATTATAGGCTAAGCCATACTGTAGGAGACTTAGAATTTCAGTGTCTTAATTGATTTACATAGTGTGTATCTCAGCCCCTGTAAGTAGAAGTACTTTCTGGATTTGCTTAAACAATCAAAAATTATTGAAGCTTTCTTTTGTTTAAGACAATAACATAAACCCTTGGAAATGAAAGACACCTTGGAAAATTGTTAGCAAAGGATGTTCAAAATATAGGTGTTCTTATTGATATGTTGAGAACAGAGTGAAGTTGAATAATTATATTTGTATAGAGTATGGAGCTTGGTTTTAGAAAAGAATGAATACTTCAGTGAATTTGGGAACCAGTGGTTATAATTCTTAACACTGTGCTCTCACTGTCTAATGTCAAGAATTTTATATCTACATAATTCGAAACTGTTAAGAACTTTATCCTGTAAGTGTCCCTTCTATCCTTTATCTGTCTATGCACTACACTAAGGTAATAAAATTATGATGATCTCGTGGAGTAGCTAACAGAGTTCCATGATAATCAATGAAAGAATGCTGCGTCAATAAAAATTTTTGCATAGCACTATAGAAGTTATGTGAATACTGTAAAAGTGTTTTCACAAACATTAAGTATAGGCATATGCCCTGGATTTTCTATTTGCTATTAGTAACTAATAACTGGTTAATACTAAATCTTACTCTGTGCAAAACTGAAGGACATATTTCAGTTTTGAAAATCTCCTGGGAAGGAAGCAGCTAATCTTTAAGAATTCATGCTATTTTAATGCTAATGAGAAAAAAGAAACATGAAAGACATGGCTCAGGCAATAACTTTGTTCAAAAGAAACAATTAAAAAATATATATCTCCTGAGTTTGTTCTCATAATCTGAAAATGTATGAAAAAAATTATATAAATTTTCTTGACACGTTAACTCTCATGTTTACTCCTTTTCTTTGATATTTTTATTTATTCAATTTATTTTTAACCAATATATAACATTGTACATGAAAGAGAATGCAGTAAGAGGGCCTGTAAGTTAAACGTGA